TTCAACTGGATAGGCTAACAAAAGCATTCAAATGCAATGACACTTACATCGTTGTCGCATTTCATGCACCACTGATAAGGCTGCCTGACGGCTGACGCAGACATAAATTCAAATGCAACGTTTTTGCATTCGAATGTGGATTTTTTTTTTTTAATTCGACGAATATTCGAAATGCGATTTTTTTTTTTTGACAGCCGTATTGTCCAGCAGTATGTGTGTAATGTAGTCCATAAATCTCAATCCCTACGCAGCTGAACTTTAAGCTTCATCTGAGGTTTGCCAGCACAGAAATGGGGCGTTTGTTTGTTGTTTGGTGTGGATTTGCCGAAGCCTCGCTCGTCCTTTGAGGTTTGGCTCGCTCCGGCTTGTTTTCCTTTGCGTCGGTTTGGCTCTTAGTTTTGGCCTGGAGAACAGAACGAGCTTCTAGAACCAGCAGTGTTTGGAAATGCCCGGCTCTCGTGTTTGGGACGGATCGAACGCTGTGAAATCCCTGGTTTACGAGGCTCTCGGCAGGCCTCGGGTTCACTGATGTCATGTGAGAGAAAGCTGAAGGCACAGAGGCTCTTACTGAACGAGTCTCCAGCTGTGAGCCTGATTTAACCTCAAACTGGTTTTTATGAAGCCAGAACATGAGCGCTTCCTCTCGCACCTCCAGCCATGATGTCATGGGAACGTTCTTCATCCGTAGAACATCAACACGGTGTTCCATGATGGACCATAGTGATGAATAGGACTGGGTTTTGACACAAATTTCACGATTCGATTCGATTCTCATTCACAAGCTTGCAATTCGATTCAGTATCGATTATTTTGGATAAATATCAGGTACAGTACATGCCAAATTTTCTCAAGGAAAAAAAATGTCTCAACTAATGCTGTAAAATATACATGAGAGTCAGTTGGTGCTACATTACTATAATATTGAAGGATAAAATTCATTGATTTGTTAAAATTACACTTGAAGTTTTTAAAATAATAAAGTTACAATTACATAATAACATTTCTACTTCAATTAAAATGTTTCGTCCATTAACTGAAAACAGGCTAGACTAATCGATTCGTGGGATTTAGGAATCGATATCGTTCCGTAAAAATGAGAATCGATTAATATCGAGATATTGATATTTTTTACCCAGCCGTAGTGTTGAATATTCATAATCACAATGAATCAGTTTGAATAAATCAGTTCCTGATTCAGAACTTTGATTCAGTGCCATCATTCATATATTCAAATGCTTTAATGCTGGTGCAAATGTGCACGTTTATTTAGTGACGAATATACCGTTTTCTATTTTTAAATGCAATCTATTGCTGTGAAGGAAAAGAAAGTAATACTTTTATTCAGAATGGATGCATTACATTGATAAAAAGTGATAGTAAAGACTTATTATTGTTAGAAAAGATTTCCATTTCCAATAAACGCTGTTCTGTTGAACTTTCTATTCATCTGTGAATCCTGAAAAATAAAATGCATCACGGTTTCCACACAAATATTGTGCAGCACAACTGTTTTCAACATTGCTAATAATCAGAAATGTTTCTTGAGCAGCAAATCAGCATATTAGAATGATTTCTGAAGATCATGTGACACTGAAGACTGGAGTAATGATGCTGAAAATTCAGCTGCGCATCACAGAAATAAATTACAGTTTAACAGATATTCACATAGAAAACAGCTATTTGAAATTAGAATAATATTTCACAATATTATAGATTTTATCGGCAAATAAATGCAGCCTTGGTGAGCAGAAGAAAATTATTCTCTATGAATGTACATTTAAAAGTATTATTTCAAACCTTTGACTGGTAGTTTATGTAAAAGTAAATGCATTATGTATTGAATATCATCAGAATATCAAGATGGTCAAATGTAATTTGTTAGTGTTGTTTTTGGCAGGTATCTGGAGCTGGACCTGAAGACAACTCTGCAGGCAAACCTGATGCAGAAGACCATCGTGGAATACCCAGAAGTCTTTGTGGTTCTGCAACAGCACAGTCAGCAGTACCTCACTCGCAGACCGGGTACTAAACACACACAGAATCAGACGGCTCTAAACACACACTCACACTGAACACATGCACACGGCTGAACCTCACGGAAATACGTCCGGCTCACATTTCATCACACAAGCTACGGGAGGAAAAAAGAAAATATTTTCATTCATTCATTCATTCATTGTTAGATGTTATTAATGATCAATTATATTATTATTTATAATATTTTGCATAACATTTTTAGATTTTTGAGGAATAATTTGACAATTTTTGTTTTAATTTTTATTTATTAAAATACTTTATTGAAAAATTGTAGCAATCGCTGAATTGCATGTATCTATTTATTCAATGTTAGATGTATTAAAAATGAAAAAGATGATAGACGTATTAAAAATAATATATTGCCAATTATAATATTATGCATAATTAACTTTTTAGGTTTTAAAATCATTTTGATATTAACTGATAATAATCTGACAATAATTTTCATGAAAATTAAGCAAATTCACCCCATTCTTATTTTACTTCAAGTTAGTTAAATACGTCACTGAAAAGTGTAGTAATTCCTACATTTAATTTATTTATGTTTATTTTTTTATATTTAATGTTAGATGTATTAAAATTATATATTATTAATTATAAATTGTTATTAGTTACAATAGTTTGCACAATGAACACGTGTAGGTTTGCTCAATAATTGAGGAATAATTCTATTTTTACATTTTTTTTTTTTTTTATAAATACACACAAATCCAAGAATTGGCCTAAAGTTAAATACTTTACCCGGAATTTATAGTAATTGTTAACATGCATGTATGTATTTATTTATTTAGCCAATCAATGTTATATTTATTAAAAATAATATATCATTAATTATAAATTACATTATAATTTATTCCCATTTTATTAAACTTAACTGACATTTTTGTAATTTAATAATATTCTATAATTTTATATAATAATAGAAAAGTCATGAGTGTTTAGTTGTCATAAACCAAAGTCGTAATGCAAAAAAAAAAAAAAAAAGGTTCAAAAAGCAGTACATTTTCTGTTTGCAAAACAGTCTTATTTCTTTGTTTAGATGGGATGAAACCTGTTCTTGTCAGTTTTTCTGAGCTCTCTGAGGTGTTATAACAGAGAGATAAACCTCATTCATTCTCATACCGACTCTCTCTTGACTAAACAGGCCAGACCGACCAAACGAGCGATGAAAGCCCATGCTTCTGTTAGCAGTCCTAACCTTTTATTACATGCTAATTCAGTTATGCAACACATTGGCAGCAGGTCCAACCATCAGCTGTTGTCTCTCTTGCACTAGAGCTGCAAATCATCACAGCTGTTTCATCACGATATGTGACCCTGCAGCACAAAAGCAGTGTTAAGTCACTGGGGTATATTTGTAGCAATAGCCAACAATACATTGTATGGGTCAAAATTATAGATTTATCTTTTATGCCAGAAATCATTAGGATATTAAGTAAAAATCATGTTCCATGAAGATGTTTTGTACATTTCTTACCATAAATATATCAAAACTTAATTTTTGATTAGTAATATGCATTGCTAAGAACTTCATTTTTTTACTTTTCCAAGCAATCCCTTGTTAGATGTATTACTTATTTTAATTACATTTATTTATTTATTTTAATCAAATGTTTTTGTTTTGTGTTTTTTGTTTATTTAAATATTATTTAAACAAATTTAGTTAAATCTTACTTTAATACTTTATTTTTTTTTACTGATTTTCTGTAAACTTTTCCACAGACCTCCTTAGCATCCCCTTGTTATCCCCTTTTTTTAATTTATTTTAATCAAATTTACTTATTGGAATTGCTTATTTATTTATGTATTTGTTTAAACCAATTCTTTATTTTAATCGAATTTAGTTCGTCTTATTTTTATTCTTTATTTATTTTAATATTTTACACTTTTTTTTTTAAACATTTTTACACTGCTTTCCTCTAAACTTTTCCACTGACTGTTAGATGTATTATTTATATATTCATTTTAATCTAATTTGTTTATTAATTTGAATCATATGATGTTGTTTATTTAGTGGTGCATTTAATATCAATTAAAATAAAAAATATATTAATGTATTTATTTAATTCAATTTATTTTAATAAAATGTAATAATTTATTATTTATTTTCTTATTTAATCAAATTATTTTAGTTATGTATTTTAATCTTTTTTATATTATTTACAACGTGCATTTTCCTCTGCTTCTAGAGCGTTCCAATGTGGTCCAAGGTGTTGCATCAGCGAGCGTCACCAGAACTTCATGTTCTTTGGCTGAACCACGCTCAGAAGCTCTTGTGCATGTGGCGAAGAAGCCAAAAGTCTCAGAGGACGATGAGCTGGAGGACGGAGAGATTCGAAGTGAAGGAGAGGATGGAAACACTGAAGATGATGATGGTGACGCTGAAAATAAACTACCTGCAATGCATCCTGATGGAAATGACGACAGTGATGAAGAAGAGGTGGAGATGAAGGACTGTCCTCATAACAGTGTTCAGGACGCTCAGGAAGATGACGGGAACCAAAACAAAGTGGTTTCAGTGAACATCACCAGCAAAACTGAAGAAATAATGATGGTTTCTCAAGGTCCTGAAGAAGCTGACAGCACTCAGACTTTCACTGATGATGGTAGGAGTCTGTGTGAAGACGATACGTTTGATATTTCCCCTCATGAATGTCAGAAAAACATCGATTCCAGCGCTGGACTTCCAGAAGATGATGGTGTTCAAGAGAAAAATGGTGCAAATTATGACAAAGAAGGACAGACCGACTCCTGCATCGCCAAAGGTTAGAGTTCACCATGTGAAGAACATTCAGAAACGAGTCAAACTGAAGGCCAGGAAAACATGCATGGAGAAAACACTGCTGTTTATTCCAGTGCAAGTGAAAATCAGGCTAATAGCAAAGTAGCCAAAAT